AAAAAAAAAAACATACGGGTCGAATTGAGAACCTCCTCCTTTTTTTGAAGTCGGTTGAAAATTCAAATTCAAGTAGTTTAGTCAGTACATAGGCCTTTTCCACGGCAGTTATACACGTCCCAAATATAGCTTGCCATACCACCACTTCGGGACAACATATGGGCTGCTCTTGAGAAGAAGTGGCGGAAGAAACTCAGTCACCTTAGAAACCTCTAGCAAGATGGCGTAACCCTGTTAAAATCTAGCGCTTAACTGAGTCAGTGCCTGAGATATGGCGGCACAGGAGGGGTGTCATTTATCACGTGACAGAGCAATATAACGGTTGTCGCGTAAAGTCGCCTAATATGAAAGCGCTCTGAGGCTGTAAAATTAAATGTATATCGTAGCCAAAAATTCAAACCAGAAAATATAAAGATATTGATGATATTTGTTCGCACGTATGTACTATCGGGGACTCGAACGCCTTGACACCTTAAGGGCCTAAATTGTTTGCACACACACGCTCGATTTTGCTCCGCCCCCGTTCATTCATGTTTCGAGTCTAAGCAGCGTCGGCGCACCACTGTAGATGTTTGCCCTAGCAAACCAAGCTCTATGTAAAGCACTTAGGACTGAGTATTGCTTATTACCCGCATCCGTAGCGCTCGTTTGGCAACGTCGCATTTTAGTCAATTTGAAACCCAATTAAGAATCGCTACACAATATTATATGAGGCTTCGTGTAAAATTTGAACTAGCGATTGCCCGCTCGGGTCACAAAATTGCTATCGCACATTCCGAGGTAACTATGCAATTTCCCGAGAAAAAAGTAGCCCTTTCTACAATTATTGTTGATATTATGAGTGTAAATCTCATGATATTAGTTTAGCTAGTTAGGGCGAGAAATACAAAATCATACAATTACTTTCGAATTTTACTTATTTAATAGGTATTTAATTTATTCGGAACTAATAATTTAAAACAATATGTTATTGAATTAATTAGTAAAGAGTTAAGGAATATTTGTGGCTTAAAAACAATTATTGTAAGATCTGGCTATAACTTTCTTAAATCCTTGAATGTTAATAAAAACTTATAATAGGTTTCTATTTATTTTTAATGCATATTTTGTTTTCCGTTTTAAAGAAACACTTATCTACGTTATTAAAATTTAATATAAATATTGCACTAGGTAGCAATGATCCAGGTAATTGGTTATCGTAAATATTATAATATTAAGTTAGTTTTATTTCAAATTCAATTTTTTATTGCACATTAAGTGTCTTTACACAAGGTCTTAAATCTATAACAATTAAACTTCAAACTAAATAACACTTAAACAGTTAACAATGTATAGATAAGTTTGTAAGTAAATATAAGAATTATTTTGAGAGGCATGGTTCAGTAATCGAGCGGAGGTCAATAAAAAGGCAATCAAACAGTCCAATTACTAGCACGGGTCAACACAAATCAATCGGTTATTGATCACGAAACTTCACAAAAAAACAAAGGAGAGAATATGTCGACAGATCGCCAAAGCAAAAAGCAGACAGACCTCGTATAAAAACACAATATTAAAAAAAATACATATCTATTTGTTTGTAACCAAATTCTATTATTAAAATTCTAAGGCTCAGTTGCACCATCTTACTTTGACTTTAACAAACGTCAAAATTCTGTCAAACTCCATACAAAAAGCACCGGTTACCGTTATAGTTACGGTCAAAGTTAGATGGTGCAACTCAGCCTAAAACTCAGAAAGATTGAAGAAAAAGAAACATTTCGTTTTAAACCTTAACCCTATGACAATAAAGTGCACAATGGTATTTCGTATTGCAACCTAAGCCCTGATTGTCTCTTATTGGTCGTAGTAAAAATATAGTAAAATGCGTAACCAATTAGAGACGGGGTGAGCACGTGACCGGAGCGATGCGCTTACGCTAAAATTTCTACAAAGTGGTCAGGCGGAAGAGTCCCCGATAGTACCTACTGTTTTAAAATAGAATATTTTGTCATACATTGCACCAACGTATAAAGAAAGCATGTTTCAGATCCCGACTCGATAGACTTGGTTGTGGCCTCAAAGTCTACTGCGACGTTGTCAGAGCTGATGCCGCACATTGTTCAAGGTAAGAATGATGGTCTTCTCTCCGGTAAATAGTTTTTGCTAATGAAAAGAAAGATACTCGTAATATAGTTAGCACTGCTGAACATTGACCTCTGTCGAATTTCGTTAATACCTCCATGTCAATTGAAGTCCTTTTAGAGACGTATTACAAGCTCCAACCAAATAAACCTGAAGTACGTCTTACATAAGTAGATAGAAGATAATTTTACGATTCACTCAAAAACTATTTTTTGCAGACGCTAAACTGTTGCGAGGTTCTTTGAATGACGAAGAAAGGAAACGCTTCGTGTCCGACATTGTAGCTCTGTTCGAAGCCACCAAGAACATGCTAGAAGCTGCCAAAGAGGATAGAAAGGTAAGAATTGATTTTCAACTGTAAAACTTTGGCTTCAAGGTTGATTTTTATGAGAGATTAGAACAACCGAACCGATTCATAAAAGTATTATGTTACATCAAATCATGTACAGGGTGGAAACTATAAGTACTAAATGTATGGAAGCTGGAACAATTTTAATTTTTCCGACTTATCCAGTTTATTTTGTAACATGCTATTGAGCTCATGAAGGACTTTTAGGACCAGTAACTAGTTATTCGATATCTTTTATCATCATCATCTCAGCCATAGGACGTCCACTGCTGAACATAGGCCTCCCCCAATGCTTTTCATGTTGCCCGGTTGGTAGCGGCCTGCGTCCAGCGCCTTCCTGCTACCTTTATGATGTCGTCGGTCCACCTTGTCGGTATTCTTGTATAGTTGAGGGATAATCGAGTGAGATCACTTATCGTTTCCACCCTGTACATAATTTCCTTGTATTTCTAGAAACTGGACAAGTCAGCCGTGGAGTTCGGCAACAAGTCGGCCAAGTTGCTGTATGTCGTCAGCACCGATGTAGACCCAGGACAAGAGAAAGAGGTATGTCACGATATAAAACTCCAAAATATTTCTGTGATATTTCAATTTGTGTGTCTCACTGGGAAAGGTGACATTGACACTAGAACATTAATAGCAATTAGTTGCTCTGTTACAAGTAAATGTTCTAGTGCATGGGTTCCCAAAGGGGAGGCGTTAATACCTACGGGACTATTCCCACCTCTCGTTCCCACCACTGCAACTCCTGTGTAGCCAGGATCTACAGCTTGACCGCCACAAAAACCCAACCAATGAAGGTCAAGTTTGTCCCGGGGGAAAGTTAAACTGTCATTGGACCCGCAACGAAATTAATCAGAAGAACATAGGAGGAGTTCGAAATTAAGGTTCGACTTCCCTCCATTGCAAAGCGGATGACAGGTGACAAACAAAGGTTTAAAACCTTTAAGAAAAAGATTATGCACCACGGACAATAAATTAAATTAAGGGGGCCTATCTTATGAGCAATTAGCAACTACCTGCCAATAATATTTTTCACAAAATTGAATGATCAAACGAACTTACCAAGTGAAGTTCGATCTAAATTATCCTGTTTTCGCCGAAGAGATTTAAGGTCCCTCCCAACCCGAAGATTTCTATATCTTCTTCCCTGGAGGTAAACGTCAATGTCATCTCTTCTCTAAATATAATGAGACCGCTCGGACACCGAGCCCACAGCGTGGTAGGGGTGGGGTTGCCCGCTCTTTTGTTTTTTAATACTACTACGCTGAATATTGTGTGCGGATTGGGTTGTCGTACAGGGGTACTACATGGTAAAATAAATCTCTTCGGCGAAAACAGGATAATTTAGATCGAACTTCACTTGGTAAGTTCGTTTGATCATTCAATAATAAATCAAAATTTTATACGAAGGTACGTACCTACCTAGCTAGACAGACTCACATTATTTCTTATGAATATTTCAGGTAGGTAAGTAATATCGTCAATTTCACAGAATTCTTTTAATTCTAAATTTATACTATCGTTTTTAAATTTATTAAACCCTTAATCATTATTAAAATATCCTAACTCGATGCGTAAAACTTTATCCCGAAATAGGGGACATGAGTTCACGAACTTAGAAACAGAGCAAAATTTTATCACGAAACAGGATCCAAACAAGAGGTCCGCAGAACAATTAATATTAAAAAAAGTTCAAACAATATAACTATAATTTATGTATTAAGTTACTGTCAAAAGACCAAAGTTTAGCATACAAAAGCTTTCATACTGATATCATGCTTGGTTATTTTTAAATAAATTGTTAAAGTCGTAAGAGCCTTAATATACCGAAGTAGGGGGCACTTACCTTAAATCTTCTTCAACGACTTCTCGGGAATCAAATAATCGACTTATTTTAGAACGATCGCGGCTATTTAAGAAATCGGAGGTTATATTTTCCCTTGATGCGAAGTACATAGCCGCACGCTTTTGTACCTCTAAGTCGACCGGCAGTACACCAGCCAGGACTGGCAGAGCCTCCGTGCTCACAGTTCTGTAAGCTTTGCAAAGAAAAATCAATGCAAGGCGTTGACTTTGGAGTAGTTTCCGTCGAGCGGCTCCTATAGTAGCTCTGTCAGCCCAAACTGGTGCACCATAGCAAATGGAGCTTAAATAAGTGGCCGAATATATTACTCGGAGGATTTTAAACGTTAGACCCCACGTCGAGGTTGAAATGTGACTTAAGGCATAAAAGTTCTTTTTAGCTTTTTCACCGATCTGTTTAATATGCTCGACAAAACTAAAGTTTTTCTCTAAAATTAGTCCGAGATAGCAAACAGATTCCCGTTTTTTAACAATTACTTCATTGAATTTAATGCGAGGCAAAACTTTAAGGAGGCGTTAATACCTATAAAGGGAGGCGCGGGCCATCTGTGGTTAAGTATTAAAAAACCTGCGATCGTCGAGAGAATAACATTACAGACTGCTCGATACGACCAATAAATAATCTGGACTAGGGAATGGCGCGGATTTTTTCTGGTCGAAAGGGGGCGTGTCTCAAATAAGTTAGGGAAACCCAGTTCTAGTGTATAAAGTAAGCCTTACTCTTTCTGCATGACCCGTGGTTGACTGACAGAGAATGCCATCCAGCATTAAGTCCGCCACAGTGCATTGTTTATGTGTGTTAAAGTTTAAATAAATAAATTAAGCTGACAATGTAAACAGGTGTTGGAGCGAGTGCGGAACATCAACGAGAACGCGTCCCGGCTGGCCGTGCTGGGCGCGGACTCCGCGAGCCACCTGCCCGCGCCGCAGCTACAAGCGCTGTGCCGTGCGGGCGCCCGCGCCGCCGGGGCCGCTACCACCCTCGCCTACACCGCCAAGGTAAGTAGTCGGCTGTCGGCGCGGAACATGAACGAGAGTGGAACATGAGCGAGAGCGAAACATAAGCGAGAGCGGAACATGATCGAGAGCGGAGCATGACCGAGAGCGGAACGTGAGTGGGAGCGGAACATCGAGAGCGGAACATAAGAGAGTGCTCGCTGAGGCCGCCACCACCCTCGCCTACACCGCCAAGGTAACTGTAGTCGGGTGCTAGTGAGTGCGGAACATGAACGAGTGCAGAACATCAACGAGACCGCCTCCCGCATTGCCTATACTAGTTAGGCGTTGTAGCGAGAGCGGAACCTGAACGAGTGTGGAACAAGAGAGTGCGCGCTGAGTTCACCACTACCCTCGCCTACACTGCCAAGGTTACTGTATTAGTTGTTACTGAGTGCGGAACATGAGCGAGTGCGGAACATAAACTAATTAGCACCAGAGGCAAATAGAAAGTTTGGCCTTTATCGAAGCCCTTTTTAACTTTTTTGGTAAATAACTCCTTTCGCTAGCCAGACGTGTTCGAAATACTGATAGTAGCATAATGCTCGCCAATACATAATTTAAAACATGTAAAAGAAAGATTGTGATTTATATTGAATTTCGATGCTGTAACATAAAAATGTACGGGTATTTAGACCCTATATTCTGATTAGAACACCAATCGTAACATTAGAAAAAAGAAACAAGTAATTTCTTTTTTTTCGCAGCTTGTAGCGCCGTCAATCCAAAACGCAGAGTGCAACGAAGCGCTCACCAACGCCGCCAACGATCTCTCAACCCACCTCCAAACCTATTCCTCAACCTGGGCACCCCTGGAAGCCTCCCCTCAATCTTCATCCATCACCGAGTTGAGGACCGAAGCAGCGAGCTTGGAGAGGCTCCTGGAGGAATTGAGGAGGGACCTGGGAACTGGGAAGCTGGTTAAGAGGAGAACGGTGGAGAGAGTGGTGGTTGAAGATACACCACTGAGGAGGCTGGCGTGTGTGGTACAGGAGGAGGCTAAGGTATTTGAGTTTTTTTAGAATATTAATCCTTTAACCCCTCGTGGCAAGATATCCTTATATGGTCTGGTCGCCGAGCACGTAGAATTTTGTCCAATGACCCCAAGCTACCCACCTTTATCGATCGCGCGTAATAATATGTTGCTTATTTACCGTACGTACTATCGGCAACAGTGTTACCTACCCATTGCCGGTCATGTTGTCTCGTTCTATCGCAAAAAATCTCCATTTGATGAGAGCGAGAGCAAAAACTGAAATGGATAGTTAACAGTGTGGCCGTGTGTACCTTTCGTTGCTAAGTTTTTGAAGGTTAACTGGGATTTATAATACATACCTAGATCGAGCTATTTAAATGCGCTATAATGACGGACATAGCAATTTTGTTGTGACAGATAAACAATGGTGAAATGGTTTGGAATTTTGTCTCGCTTATAACCGTAAACCCAAAGTTTTTACTGAGCTCTCTAAAAATGAAAATATTGACATTTACAGAAAAGAGCCGAATCAACCAACACTTTGCCTGAGCTGCGAGCCAAGTACGCCAAGTATGCGAATGAACTGGGCCAAGTTGTCAAGCAGCTGGACTTGGCTTACCACAGGTGCCGCCAGGCGCCACAGGTAAATATTTAAAAACTAGCTTAACTTAGCTGTTACCTTAAGGGGCCTAATATTTACTGTTTTCTATTATCTTAAAGAATTGACGATATTTCGCACTGAAATTTTCAATATTACAGAACGTAATATGTGTGATGTGACGACTATATCGAAAACACAATTAGAAAAATTTTGCTCGATAGAAAAAAAATCTTAAAGTTACCTCTGAATTTTTTATACAGGGTGTTAGGTAAATGGGTATATGAGCCGACACTAGCCCATGTTAACATGGGCATATAAATGGTATGGTGAAGTCAGAAATTTGATATCATCACTTTATTTTTTTTAATTTTCATACAAAATAAATTGTATAGAATCCGATTTATATGAAAATTAAAATAATTAAAATAAAGATATCAATTTTCTGACTTCACCATACCATTTATATGACCATGTTAACATGGGCTAGTGTCGGCTCATATACCCATTTACCTAACACCTTGTAGAAGCTTAATACGACCGCGTTTTACAGTAAAAAATCCTATAAAATCACAAATACAAGACATCACAGTATTTAGTTTCATATTGTGCTATCACTTGTACAATGTAATTTTCTCGTCGCCAATTAGAACAACACGTTGGGCGCCAAAACTACTTTTGTACAAAATACACACTAACTTTCTTCACAATTTCTTTCACAGGACCTAGAGAAACGCCAAGAGCTGGAGTATGCGGTGCAGAACCTTCAGATCACTCTGCTGCAGACCAGACCTTCTTTAGATGGAACACCACAAAGCAACATCGTTGATTTGACGGTAACTTATTGCAAAATTAGACCTTAAATTGACACTATAGCATTGAAGTAATTTTCATATTGGAATTTTAAACGATAAATATAAACTAAAATGGATTTTTTCAGGAATATGTTAAAGAGGTGTCAAATGATGCTGACAAATTGATCAAAGAATGCGAGAAAGGACCACCGGAATTGACAAACATAGTGAGTATGACCATTTACTAACAATTAATCCCTTTTCCCCCATATGGCACACGAACTGATTCTTAGGAGAACGTGTAAGTTATGTGTTGGGGGCTCTTTTTCCCTTGCACTATACTTTGCTACCTAAATTCTAATGTGCTTCTTCTCTTGTCAAGTTTTATCAGTGTTCCAGACTGCAATATCTCCTTTTTGACAACTAGGTGGCGCTTTTCTTACTTAGTCCGCGGTACCAAAGTATCTTTTACGGTTTCTAAGTTGTTTCTGATTTTAAAAAAACTTTTTACGCTCTAAGGCTGCGTTTTCACCAGATATGTGCGAGGATGCGTAGCGAGGGATGTGTATGTAAAGAACCAATAGAATCTCTTCATTTACCGAGACGAGGTAAATGAAGCGATTCTATTAGTGGAAACGCAGTTCAATTCAAGTTTTGTTTTATAATACACTAGCTTTTGCCCGTGACTTCACCCGCGTGAAATTTAGTGTCACAGATCAGCATAAATTATAGCCTATTATGTTAATCTGGGTTACAAACAATATTACTGTAAAGTTTCAACAAAATCCGTTCAGTAGTTTTTGCGTGAAAGAGTAACAAACATCCAGACCTCCAAACTTTTGCATTTATAATATTAGTAGGATAATTATCTTGGTATACCCTTGGACAATCAGCTCAATGTGGATTTCGTCTACAGCTGGGCAGCATCCAAGAGCGCTGCTCACAGATAGTGTCCCGGGCTGCCCGACTAACCACAGCCGATAGCTACGACCAGGCCGAGGAGGCCGGCTGGATGGAGATCGAACAGTTCGCCGAGGTAACTAGTACAAACTAATACATTTTTTTCAAACCTTTTATTCAAACGATCATTGCAAACGTTGTGATAGGGATAAGAGACATGCGATTTTTGGTTTTACAAAAGTGATACGATAGAGAATAATAAAAAGCAATAAAAACCACCTGTTATAGGGGCATTTTTTGGAGAAATTTATCAAATAACCAAGAAAAATGCGAATTTTTAAGAAGATTTTTTTAAAAAAGTATCCTTTTTTTTATGCATAACAAGGCAGGTATTTGACCACAATCGCACCTGATGACACGCACCTTTTTTATTATTTGTTGGCATTTTCTGGGTATTTTATGTATTTTTTTAGTCTCGCCTGTTATTGAGCATTATTACTGTTTTTATTTTATCAGGATATACCTCTTAGTTTAAAAGATATTACTTTTTCTTTGCATGAAGTAATTGAAAGAAAAAAAAAATCTATAAAAATTTAAAATAAAATCTCAAATATTTTTTGACCTCTTTTTTGTCGATAAAAATAGGTCTAGTTTTACCTTAATTCATATGTACATTTTAACGTGACTCACACTGTATATGAAGGAATGCGACCAGATTAGTTAATCAATATTTGCCTTTGCAGGAATGCGACCAGCACTTGAATGGAATAAACTACATGTTAGAGAATCTGAACGACGGAAAGCTCAAGATCGACCTGCAGGAGAAGGCCACGCGGCTTTCCGAAGACTGTAACATGTTGAGGTGGGTTTATAACCTTTTTAGTTGAGGGCGAGTGTTAAAGACGTTTAAGTGATTTTAAAGTTTGTCTCATATGTAAGAAAATTGACCCTTCAACGTTAGTTTTACCGACGGATTAGCAAGCTGAAGTGGCAATGGGCAGGGCATATAGTACGCAGAACTGATGGCCGATGGGGTAGCAAGGTTCTGGAGTGGAGGCCGCGTACCGGAAAACGCAGCGTGAGACGTCCACCCACAAGGTGGACCGACGACATCATAAAGGTAGCAGGAAGGCGCTGGACGCAGGCCGCTACCAACCGGGCAGCATGGAAAGCATTGGGGGAGGTCTATGTTCAGCAGTGGACGTCCTATCCGTTTGTCTTTAGATAGAGAAAACACACTTTAATATACACCACACAAGACAAGAAAAAAAAAGAAAACTACGAGAAAGATACGGCACAATTTATACGGTCTTATCGTTTTAAACTGATCTCTTCCAGACTAGTCTTTAGTTGAGCGGCTGAAATTGAATTTTTTTCATTTATACTCAGGTTCGCGACGAAGTGCGCCCTAGCCTCCAGTCAAGGCGTGTCACTGGACGCGACGCTCGACGACCTGACCGACTTGGAAGGCAAGATCGACGAGATGCTGGCGGAAGGAGACAGCTCACATGTTATGGTATGTGTCATCATCATCGTCAGGTTATGTAATCTCTAATGATGACCCATTTGGCGTAGCGCAATGAGGGTTTTCGCGAATGAAAACTCCGCCAGATGGCAATACGTAGACGCGAGGTCCAAATGCTGCATGATTGGTTATTTTTGACATGACATTGACAGATATGTCAAAATCCACCAATCACGCAGCAGTCAGACCCCACATCCACGTCCCGCCATCTAGCGGATCTTTCATTCGCGAAAACCCTCATTCACAGAAGTTGGGCAGCTTACGCCATTTTAACTAGTAATTATTGTTGTAACGTGTAATGTAACGTAAGGTTTGATACACAGATACGCCAGTTGTTATTAATCAGCACACTCAAACGTTAAACTCAACCGAATCGCTAAGTTATGCTCTAAGCCTGTAGTATTCTATGTGTTTTGTGAGCGGGCATCTGAGGGCTTAGCTTGAGTTTACATCAAAAGTTTTCGCTAGTAACTGCGTACAAAATGTCATTAAATGATGGATTGTACAGCGTCCCTTCAAGATTAATATCCTAAAATCTTCATAGTTTTTTTTTGTCGCACTCGCTAGAGACGACTTTCAATGCTAACTCGCACTACGCACACTGATATCATTTGATGCATAAGTAACTACTTATTTGTGGTCTATGTTTTGTCTTTTTATTTTGTGTCAATTAGTATTTCTATTTTATCCTCTATGCATAATAAAATAAAGTTTCCTTCTCTATGCAGCCGTCATGGTCGAGTGATTACGGTCGCGGACGGCTGGTGGCGGCGACGGCCCGCGCGGGAGCCGGCATCGCTCACGACTTGCCGCCTGCTTTCACGAGCTATATGGATGACGTGCGCACGCGCACTGATCTCAGCAACGAGCCTGAGAGGAACCAGTGAGTAGATGTTGACGGTGTAGGCTGTAGATAATGATTCGGGGGAATTTAACGGGGGAGTCTGGTGGCGACTGCATAGTACGTAGCCCGCTCCCTGGAGACCGAAAGCGTGCCTTCCTTGAGTGAGATTTCATAATGAGCGAGCTGACTACTGAGCGGAAAATGAGGATGAATGATGTCTCGCGTTTCTGACTTATCGAGTACACTGCCAGGTTTTTATTGAGTTGGCCCTTCCCTTTTGTGAAGGAGAGCCCCTCATTACCCACTCACTGCCACAGCGGCTGGTAAAAGTATGCAATTTCTTATGCCCTCGTGGTTGGATTACGGTCGCGGACGGCTGGTAGCGGCGACGGCACGAGCGGGCGTTGGTATCGCTCACGACTTGCCGCCGGCTTTCACGAGTTATATGGACGACGTGCGCACACGCACTGATCTTAGCAACGAGCCTGAGAGGAACCAGTGAGTAGATATTGACTGTGTAGTTAACGAAACTAATTTTCTTGTTTCCACCGCTGTAATTCCTGTGTAATAAGGATCTACAGCTCAAGCCCATCCAGTGATGATCAAGTTTACCGACTTCACCGACTTAAAGCCACGAGCCTGACAGAACACAGTCAGTAGATTTGACTGTGTAGATAAATTATCATTAGGTACGGGGGAGTGGTGACTAAAGATGCCACGATGAAGCTACGTGCCGGTCGCTGAAGGTTGAAGACGCCTTCCTTGGGTGCTAAATTGCTAAGTGAGGAACGCGGACGAATGCTTTTACTGATAGATGGTGTCTCGCGTTCCTGACACATATGGCTTATCGAAGGCACTACCAGGTTTTTTATTGGGTCGGCCATTCCCTTTTGTCAGCGAGAGCCCCATATTACCCATTTGCGGCTGGTAAGACCTGCAAACAACTTTTACGAGCTATATGGGTGACGTGCGCACACGCACTGATCTCAGCAACGAGCCTGAGAGGAACAAGTGAGTAGATATATTATGACATCACACACAAATTCTTCAACATTCATCCCTATTTCTCTTCGAGTACCGTCTAACTAAGGTGATCAAATGAGCAGGGATTGTATTGGAGTTTTCTTTTTCTCGTTCATAATTTTCAATTGTATCTCCTGAACATATGATTGTACTGGACTGTAGTGACCATCCACCCCGTTGACGGCACAGAGCCACCGGGTGGTTGGGACTAACCCTGATTTGATTTTATACCACTACCACTTGGTCGGACGACGGTTGTAGTATTAGGCGTTAGGATTCGCTCACTAATACTAGACTATAGTCTGGTCCGTGAGCACGTAGAATTTTGTCCAATGACCCCAAGCTACCCATCCTTATCGCTCGCGCGTAACTATGTTGCTATCGCGCTCGCACACTCACTGCGGGCGCCCGTCGCACAGTCGCGATAGCAATATAATTACGCGCGAGCGATAAGGATGGGTAGCTTGGGGTCATTGGACAAAATTCTACGTGCTCACAAACCGGGCTTTAGACTAGTATCGTATCTGCATTTATTAATATGTTGAACAAGTTTTTGTCCACAGCTTCACTCAAATGAATTTCAATGTGCCACGGGTGCTTCTTACCACATATTTAATGATATATCATGGACATGAAATATTCCAGGAGCAAACAGCACCTCCGCAAGGTCCTGGGCCTGCTGAAGGCGCTGACGATGACCACCAGCCGCCACGTGGCCACCTGGCAGCCGCTCGGGCAGCCCGAGGCCGCCGCCGTCACCGGCCAGATATTAAAGGTCAGTTGGTTAGAACGAAGCACGAATCAGGTGACCGCTTCAGCGCCCAAATCGGATTCTACTCGGTTATAATACGTAACGAACCTCTGCAACTGACAAAATGAGGCGGATCGCAGAAAGAACCGGCGGAGAGGGAGCGAGAGGCCTCGCCTGACGCTCCACCGAACCGTCGCTGACGTCCAGCACACCGCAGGAGACACTACCTGTTAACTACATAAATGGAAAATGCTCAGCTTAAAATACGAAACTGTATTCAGATCACATAAAAAGCACAAAAAAAAGGCAAAGCAACAGATTTTTTTTCCAAAAACAAGATGGCTAACACCGTTGCTAGGCTGCAGTCCATAGACCACGGCCTAGCATCGGTGTTACCAGATCTGTCGCCAACATTCTCCCCCCTGGTAAGAACCTAGGTTCTTACCAAAGAAGCTACGGCGACAGGTCTAGTCTTACAATTTTACGCGCAGGTCGACGTCGCGCTAGTCCGTACGTCAGCCACTCGCACGATCCCGTCTTTCCCAGGGAATACTTTCTCGACCCTACCACGAGGCCAAATATTACGCGGAAGATTTCCGTCACCAATAAAAACTAAGACCCCGATATTGAGGTTTCGGTGCTGGTTTGACGATAGGCCTCGAGGTAGTAAGTCGGGAAGGTATTCCTGTCGTCGCTCGCTCAAACAGAGCGAGCCACAGTCTGGGGCGGAGCCGCGAATAAATGTCTAGGTCGTCTAGCTCGGACAAGTCGCAGTTCCGTCCCAAAGATTTTATGCGGACACCGTCAGGTTTTAGTGAGTAGGCCCTGCCCATCTGGCAGGGAGAGCCTCACATAACCCCCTGGTTGCCCCGGGCCAGTGGATATGCAATTTCATGCATTTCCTGACGATATTTTTTTATCTTTCTTTGCAGCTGTAAAAATGCAAGATCCCTGCCGCCAAGTTATGATAAACCTTGTAGAAAAAAAGTTGTAGCATTTAATATCGGCTATCTAATATCTAATCTTACAAGTTTGTTTGTGTTTTGTAAATAACACTGTAAGTAGATGATGTGAAGACAAATGTATTGGTAACAATAGTCCAACTGGGTAATGAAACCGAAATTTAATAGTGTAAAGAGCAGGGCTTCTTTATTCTAAAACTAGCTGACCCGGCGAACTTTGTTCCGCCTTAATGGCAATAAATAACGGGATAAAAAGTATCCTATGTCCTTCTCCTGGCTCTAAACTACCTCCCTGACAGTTTTCAGCTAAATCGGTTCAGCCGTTCTTGAGTTATAAGTGGAGTAACTAACACGACTTTCTTTTATATAATAGATTATAGGCGCTGATGAATTTCACAATTTTTATTCACGACTTTTAAGTAATAGCACATTACACGTTTGTTGCAGACACACAAGCAAGGAAGCAAGAAGTTCTTAGTTGCTAGAGTAAAAAATAAACATTTTTATTCGATGTTGCCAACAAATAGAATATCCGTCCGTCAGACAGACAATAAAATAATATTGGACACGTATTTTTCTTATTTCACTTCAACTTGTTCACGTTTATGCTCAAAGATATTTCCTTTCGTCAGGAGCTGGACAGCCACCACAGCCGTGTGAACGCCACCAAAGGAAAGCCGCCTCGCTCGGCGCTCGCAGACCTCGACATGAACCAGCTTCTGTATCCGCCCACCATCAAGGTCGAAGGGGACCAGAAGTAAGCCTCGTTTAAGCATTAGGTTCAGGGTACTACCACAGAATAATAATAAGTACTACGTACAGAAGTTTTACTTCGCGAAGGTATTTAAAAAAATGTAGGTATGCTTAATGTCATTAACAATATGGTGTAATTTAGCCTGTTTCAAGAGTCAAGCACCATTTTGTTGACAAACGTCAGTGATCGGCACTGCGCCGAAGCTATAGGGCTGACTTCGGTAAAATGATGTGACGTGAGGTGCCAAACTGCGAAAAATGGCGGAGGAAATACATGAATTATCATGAATAATATTAACTACTTATTTACCTCTCAGTGTCTTGAGGCAACTTAAAAAAGTACATTCTGTGTTTTTATTGTTATTTAGGCAGTTAAATACTGCACAGTATTTAGTACACCATTTTCTTTATTTTCTTCCATCAACACAAGAATACGCGTGCGTGAGTCAATGTTCGGCCTTGTCGAATAGTATCCTGTAGGTGGGCCATCGTGCGTGTTTTGTTTTCGATGTAAACTCGCGGAGATGAACAGGCCTGGTACTACTAGCTGCTTCAAGCTGCCAATGTATTCGGCCCTAACTGCGAGCTAACGGCTCTTGGCTGCAATGAGCGTTTGTCCCACGCGGCGTCATCTCAAGTGGAATGAGGAGTTCATAGCATGTACGTAAAGTTGCTCATTAAAATTTGTAATATCTCGTTCTCTGGATTAATATTAAAAGTCTAATTCAATGTGTATGGGGCAGTGCCGGATGCGATGCTACTGTGATTATAACCTTCACATTTTCCAATATGACTTCTGTTATAGTCTCACCATAACGGGGTGTTTATTTATTGTAGGTGTTTACTTATTATTTTGTTTTTTAAATTAATCAATTATTCTTAGATTTTTAAATACTTTATTCATAAGAGATGATGAGAGATTATTACTACACAACTTATGCAGTTGTCCTATCCCTTCTCACATCATGCCTGTCTCGTGAGAATGAACATTTTGTGCTTTGAACAAAGATTACAATTTCAAAATACGTATGGCCATTCAACGTGGAAATGCAGCCAGTATTATCGGCGCTATGTAGCGCAGTTATGCAGCACAATGCAGCAATTTAACTGCAATCATACCTTTCGCAATCGTTTGGACAGCGATTTAGGACTTTTCGCCACCGATGTACCCGACAGCACTTCCATCCCCATCACTTAGATGGTTGGCAGTCCACAACAGTACGTTTCTCTAGACACTTCCTGCCCCGTACAACCAAACTGTGGAATGGACTGTCGTCTGCGGTGTTTCCGGACGGATACGACCTGCAAGCTTTCAAGAGGAGAGCGTATTTTCACCTTAAAGGCCGGCAACGCACCTGTAACGCCCCTCGGTCTGCGGGTGTCTATGGGCGACGGTAATCACTTCCATCAGGTGATCCGCCTGTTCGTTTGCCTCCTGTCACATAAAAAAAACATGTTTTTTATTTGTAACTCGTTTGTTTTCAGGCAAATATCGGACAAGCTGCAGCAGGCGGCGTCCAAGCTGTCTACCGCTACAAGCACCATAATGCAGAGCGCACACAAGCCGGAATCGCTGTCCCGCAGCGCGCACGCCGCCGCCGCCGCCGCCGCCGGACTTGCGGCACACGCCAGGGCTCTAAGGACTAACGTGAGTATCACTGTTGCTGTTAGGAATCTCTTGTTTCCAGCGAGACACAGGGGCTACGGGACTATTCCCACCTCTCGTTCCCACCACTGCAACTCCTGTGTAGCCAGGATCTACAGCTTGACCGCCACAAAAACCCAACCAATGAATGTCAAGTTTGTCCCGGGTGAAAGTTAAACTGTCATTGGACCCGCAACGAAATTAATCAGAAGAACATAGGAGGAGTTCGAAATTAAGGTTCGACTTCCCTCCATTGCAAAGCGGATGACAGGTGACAAACAAAGGTTTAAAACCTTTAAGAAAAGATTATGCACCACGGACAATAAATTAAATTAAGGGGGCCAATCTTATGAGCAACACTGGGGCTAGTAAGAAAGATGCCACACGGGCGTTACCTTTGCGTTGCGTAGTCGCAACACTTGCGCAAAGGCACTAAGAGACAGTTGTTAATAGCCCAGTGGTTAAATTAGTTGAACTCCCAAGCCAAAGGGACAGGGTTTGATTCCGAGTGAGGTTTTATTTATTTACTAGCTTTTGCCCGCGGCTTTACCCGCGTGTGCTGCGTTGCGACGATCGAGAGAGAACGCAGCTGCGACGCAGAGAGCTATCAGTTCAAAGACATCTCGCTGCGCATGCCCGGACTCTAAGGACTAACTTGAGTGATCTTTAGCTGCTAAGAAACGCTTTTTCCCAACGAGACACATTGGCCAGTAATAGATGCCACGTGGGCGTTGACGTTACAAGGAGACAGGATAATGAGGCGTGTTGCGTTGCGACAACGGAACCATTCATCAATGCTATGGTGATGCGACAACTCACGGAACGTGCCGTGTGGTATATCTCTAATGCAAGCGGCGTTCAAGCCACAAGTACCATAATGCAGAGCGCACACAAGCCGGAGTCGCTGTCTCGAAGTGCGCACGCCGCCGCCGCCGCCGCCGGACTTGCGGCACACGCCAGGGCTCTAAGGACTAACGTAAGTATCACTGTTGCTGTTAGGAATCTCTTGTTTCCAGCGAGACACAGGGGCTACGGGACTATTCCCACCTCTCGTTCCCACCACTGCAACTCCTGTGTAGCCAGGATCTACAGCTTGACCGCCACAAAAATCCAACCAGTTAAGGTCAAGTTTGTCCCGGGGGAAAGTTAAACTGTCATTGGACCCGCAACGAAATTAATCAGAAGAACATAGGAGGAGTTCGAAATTAAGGTTCGACTTCCCTCCATTGCAAAGCGGATGACAGGTGACAAACAAAGGTTTAAAACCTGAAAAGATTATGCAACACGGACAATAAATTAAATTAAGGGGGCCTATCTTATGAGCAACACAGGGGCTAGTAAGAAAGATGCCACACGGGCGTTGACTTTGCGTTGCGTAGTCGCAACACTTTCGCAAAGGCACTAAGAGACAGGTGCTGTGTTGCGACGATCGAGAGAGAACGCATCAGTTCAAAGACATCTCGCTGCGCATGCCCGGACTCTAAGGACTAACTTGAGTGATATGATAGCTGCTAAGAAACGCTTTTTACCAACGAGACACATTGGCCAGTAGTAGATGCCACGTGGGCTTTGACGTTACAAGGAGACAGGATAATGACGCGTGTTGCGTTGCGACAACGGAACCATTCATCAACGCTGTGACTTTGGAGTAAGCTGCGTAGTGATGCGACAACTCACGCGACGTGCCGTGTGGCATCTCTCTGTAATGCAAGCAGTGGTCAAGTTAGAGCATTATAATAATGCAGAGCGCACACAAGCCGGAATCGCTGTCTTGAAGCGCGCACGCCGCCGCCGCCGCCGGACTTGCGGCACATGCCAGGGCTCTAAGGACTAACGTGAGTGTTCAAAATCGCTTGTTCCCTGGGAGACGCACTGTACAAACTCACGCAAGATGCACAAAGAAATAGGAAAGTGAGGCGTGTTGCGTTTCTCTAATGTAAACGGCGGCCAAGTTCGAGCATTATAATAATGCAGAGCGCACACAACCCGAAGTCGCTCTTAGGAAGCTCTCGCTTCCAGCGAGACACACTGACTATTAAGAAAAATGCCACACAGGCGTTTTCTTTGCGCTACGTAGTCGCACCGTGCGCGCGACACTCAAAGAGACAGGTAAATAAGGCGTGTTGCGTTGCGAAAACTTAACCATTCAATTAACGCTGTGACTTTGGAGTAAGCTGCGTTGTGATGCGACAACTCACCGCTGGTGTGGCACTCAATGCGTTGCGTCGAAGCAACGTGCCGTGTGTCATCTCTAATGTGAGTACCTACGTAGCTGCTAAAGAATGTCTGTTCTCAATGAGATACATAGGTGTTGACGTTGGACTGCGTCGTCGCGGGGAAATATATAAAATCTAAGACTAAATGTAGCAATAATAATTAACATAACTTTAAGAACAAAAACTTTTGCACGTCGCATGCGACAGAATATGCTGGAATTAACTAAATTAACACCAATCTGTAACCATGTTCTTGCAAATAAATGATTTTATTATTATTATTATAATACGAGAGTAGCGACGAATACGCGCTGCGACGAAAGAGAAAGTAGCAAAAGTCAAGCTCGAGCACCATAATGCAGACCGCACACAAGCCCGAGACCACAGAATAATAATAAGTACTACGTACAGAAGTTTTACTTCGCGAAGGTATTTAAAAAAATTATGCTCAATGTCATTAACAATATGGTGTAATTTAGTCTGTCTCAAGAGTCAAAGCACCATTTTGTTGACAAACGTCAGTGATCGGCACTGCGTCGAAGCTATAGGGCTGACTTCGGTAAAATGATGTGACGTGAGGTGCCAAACTGCGGAAAATTTTGTGTTTTTATTATTATTTAGGCAGCTAAATACTGCACAGTATTTAGTACACCATTTTCTTTATTTTCTTCCATCATACACAAGAATACGCGTGTGTAAGTCAATGTTCGCTCGTATGTGAGGCCTTGTCGAATAGTATCCTGTAGGTGGGCCATAGTGCGTGTTTTGTTTTCGATGTAAACTGGCGGAGATGAACAGGCCTGCCGAGACCAATGTGTGTGTTCAGAGGCTTATTCCCTGCGAGACACCAGTAAAGGAGTAAGTGATGTAGCTGCTAACGAGACTCACCACTAAGCCTATGCGCAGACCATTGATTTTTCGTCGGCCGATTGTTTAGTCGAGCAGTTCAGTATGGGCATGTATGGCAGTGCGCACATTACACCGATTCGATTTGGCCGATTCTTCATACAAATTAAAATCGGGCCCAACTATCGGCCAACTAAAAATCGGTGGTCTGCACATAGGCTATTACTTTCAGGCCTGGCCGACTTTGTAGGCAGCACCGTGGACTTTATTAGGTGGGCTGGTCAATGTGTTCCCCGATCCAAAAAAATCTAATAATGACTTATCTCAAAGGACAACACTTAAGTCATTTGTCAGTTTGTCGGTGAATAATTTGTCACAACCAAAGTCGCAACTTTCAAAATAAAAAAACGGCTAGGTCAAAGATTTTCGTGATAATCTTTATCTATTTTATTTATTTAAAATCTTTATTGCACACATAAAAAACAGTGGTACAACAGGCGAGCTTAATGCCATGTGGCATTCTCTTCCAGCTAACCAGAAAATTAGACAAAACAGAGAATTTAAGTAGGCGGTGCAAAATAGTACAAATACAAAAAAACTTATACTAATATAATACATAAAATATTATAATATATTAATACAAAATATATACCTACATAAATACATACATATACATAATATAAGGTGGATAACGAGAAGGTTTAAGAGAGATCAAGACGACGAGATACGTTCAAGGAAATGCTTGCGCACAGAGTATTTAAACACAAACTTGCTGGGAGCCTGCCTAATGTTCTCGGGAAGAGCGTTCCAAAGGCGAATAGATTGGAGAAGGAATGAATTAGAGAGGAAACCAGTGCGGTGGGATGGGGTAGAAAGAAGAAGTTTGTTGGAGGAACGAAGTTGCCTTACATGAGTTGAACTTAAAAGAGTATACTGAGATTTAAGATAGGAAGGAGCATTAGGGTCGTTTAGGATGGTAAAAAGTGTAGTGAGAATTCTGGCATTACGCCGTAGAGGAACAGGTAGCCATTTGAGCTCAGATCGGTAGGAGGAGATGTGATCATANAGCCAAATTTGAAGTGTTAATGCACAGTAGTTTTTGAATGATGAGGAGTCAAAAGTGGCTCTAATTGGTTCGTCTAAATATACGCACGGTGCAGTCCCCTCCATGGAACTAGGCTTAACATGCTCCCGCATGTCTATAGTGTTTGCTCAATGTTGATTTAGTCGATTTTCTCCTGAAAGGAACATGTAAGACAACAATAAAATTTCCAATTTTACAGACCTTCTAGAGCAGATGCCGCAAAAACTATACAAGATATAGAAAAACTTGACGGTCTCACCTGTAGCAAATTGAATAAGCTTTTTTTGGTTCATAGTAGTCATGTCACTAGGACGCATAGTTTCCGAGGATTAAGCGAAAAACCGAAAAGTGGTACCTTTAAACCCCCCTCTCCCCGCCGGCTCAAGGGCTAAGGGCGGGGACTTTTGCTATGTTCACCTCCTAACTAGGCTAAATAAAGTCCCGAGGTCAGAAATTGTGTTCCACGGATTTCTCTCTACACCGTCGTTAAGGCATTCATTGACTGGACTATGTCTGCATTCTTAAAAATAATTTTTTGTTAAATGCAGACGTAAAGACTCTTGTCACTCGTACTTACTCATCCACTAGTAGCAGTATCTGTTAATGTATAATTGTTTTTTTATTCACTGAAACATTTCTTTTTCAGCGAATATTTCATAATGATTGAAACATTAATTGTTTAGCAAATATCTAAGTCAGTAATTTGACATCACTAGTACTGTTTACGGATTATTTTGTATTTAACCCTCAACTGGCGACCTCGGGCCTTAAAGGTTATAAACATAAATATAACTACAACGTCCGTATCAAGCGAAGGCGGGAGATAAGACATTAGTCACATTGACGATAAACACTCGTTGAAATTCAGTCAGATCGATCATAGAAACAGCTATAAAAACTAACAAGGCATTGCTTTTACCACCATTAATGTTATAGTGAAATGCTTCAAATAGCAGATAGATAATAAGGTCATTGGCCTTTAAATAAGTTAAGTATTGGCATTAGAATGTAGAAAGTTTTCGAATGGTTCAAAAATTGTGAAGCCGTCGTTTTATTTCAGCATTTGGTTGCACTTTTTCAGGTCAAAATTAAGGGGTTTACACGATGTGGGTAATACAGCTTATGGCTATATTTTCTACCTACTGTAGCCAAAGTCAAAACATAGTCCAAAGCAGATCCGAAAACAGTAGAATAAACAATCCAAAGTGCAAATTCTACTAACTAAACCAACAAACATTTTGGGGAAACATTCTGTCATTACTTACCAATCAGCTTTATCCAATAAAAAGTAAAGAAATAAGTAGGTAATAATTACAGTTATCAGAATTTAAACGAAATCCCAATAACTGTAATTCAAATCAATTGATCGGCTAGACTTAGCAATATCTACAAATGCCACCAACGATGATAAAGCAGTTTGAAGTGCCGATAGCCGAAGTGTCACACCAGATTCACAGTTCCAACCAATTTACCTAAATGTACGCGAAATGTCACCTTTGAAATTTGACCCTAGCGTGACCTTTAGCACTTCACACACTCAAACATTCAAAGTTCCAAAACCCACAAAAACAAAACACTGTGTTATTTTTTTACAAAGTAGGTTGAAAAGGTAAAATCAACAGGTACCGTGACAGCACAGCGGTTATCACCGAGCAACTGATAACTGGTGTCAGGTCAAACGAGCAAATGGGGCGGTACTAGGTACATACTTACTGATAAGGCCGATAAGGGGCTCTTAACCTTCTGCGGTGAAACGATGTCACCGCTGAAGAACTGACGGTTATACTGTAAACACTGGAGGTGCAATCGATCAGTGGAATAACAACTTCA